ACCTGAAACTAACATAAAATATTGAATGTCAACTGTAATTGAAAAAAAAATCTTGTATTGGCCCTGGTGAATGCGTATTTTTTTTCTGATTATCATTTCTTAATCATTTGTTATTTTACTATATTTTAAGAGCCCTGACATGGTTGAAAGGAGGCACCATTGTTTCTGTGAACTTAAGATAGTCATTTTGAAGTGATGTGTCAATGGAAGACAAAAAGTAGAAAGTGAAACTATTGTTTGAAAAATGTTATGGGAAGACTATTATAAGGAGGCTTTGATCCTGATATCATTCAGTGAATTATAGCATTATTTAACAAACTATATGTCCCTCAAGATATTAGTAAGCATTCTGCCAAACACACAGCAGCGTATAGGGTTTATGATTAAATATATTTGGAAATGGTGGTATAAACACCCCTGGGGTTTGAGGATATCAGTAACTAACATCCTATGCTTTGCCCAAGTTAAAAAACAATTCAGATATAGACACAGGATTCTGGCAGGTGAGTAAAACTGATATCAAAAGGCTTTTCATTATGAGGGTTGGATAATGCGGCATCCCACATTTTAACCCACCCACATGGCTCTTCCCCTATGGGTGAGACTGGAATTATTGGTCTCACCCATTAGGGAAGAGCTTATTTACCTAACCAAACAACATTCTTATAAACAGATCTTTAAGGAGTGAGTTTATCCAATTCCTTCTACCAAACTCACCACTTATGAGGGAGGGAGGGAGTAGAGATAGGGCAGTTGTCTTGCTAAAATGTCCTTCCTCTTGACAAGATGAAGGATGGGGGAAGAAATCTCCACTCAACAATCCTAAATAAAGGTTTTTTTTAAGCATAGCACCTCTCTGAGTTAATGTGCCTTGGGAAGTTCCCAAGAGAAAATACGGTTAATGTTGATGTTGGGGAAATACCAACATGATGCAAGCACAATAGGTGGTTCATTCTGAAATTGAAGTTTATTTTTATACCTGTCTCTTGTTAGATCAAGTATCCTAACAATCCTCTAGCCCAGCAGGTTACAAACATGGGGTGTTATAATTAAATGTGAGGTCTTTCCCATTTGTTACCAATCAGTGTAGGTAATACATTGCATTGTTCTGATATTAGTTATTAGGTTATATCTATATAACACTCATTTATTTATATTTTTATATATTTTATAGAGTGGAACAGATAAGTGGCATTGCAACTGGATTACAGAATATTATGTAATAGCTCTAGTTTATTTTATTCATGTTATAATTGATGATCTGTGCTATGTATGCAAATTTCATCTCTGACATGTGTAATGGTAGGAAAAGAGATTCCAAATTGCTATTCTACTTTACACCTTTTATTTTATAGTTGGGATATCTGAGAAATAGAGAAAACAAATTACACACCAAAGTTAAAGAAACATCAAAAAACATATATACTAGAAATTAATCAGCACTTCTATAATGTAGCAACCTCTTTTTATATAGTAAAGTCATTCGCCATCTTAACCTGCATAAGTCCCTCTGGCATTCTACAAAATTTTAAAAGTACAAAGATATTTCCTTGTTATCATACTCTTGTTCTGATCATGACAAAATACTACTATGTCCCTTTAAAAAATGATATTTTCAGCATAGACCAGGAAGTAGTAGCTTCACTGATATGATCAGAGTCCCAGATGCAATTCTAATAATTCCAGTGTTTGTTTTGAGATTCTTAATCAAAATCACATACATTGATAAAGCAAGAAATATAAACCAAAATAAAACTAAACAGCAGATATGTAAAATTGATAAGATACTTTTAAGAATTCTGTAGCTAGTACGTAGTATTAATACATTAATTTATATGCTATGTATATAATTAATTTATGTATTTAAGTTTCTAATGCATGCTTACTGTGTGCCAGACACTATACTGGAAACTGAGCATGCAGTGGAAAAAAAAGTCAGATTGTATACTCGTGGCTTACATTGTAAAAAGGGAGACCAGTGTTAAACAAGTGACTACACTGATAACTATATAATTAAAATTACTGAAAGTGGTATAAATGACAGGTATATGAAGCTATTGACATGTATAACAGAAAGTTCAAATTTACATTTCAGTAGTCAGAGAAAACTGCTTTGAGGAAGTGATGTTAAATTGACACTTGAAAGAAGAGTGTGTATTACCATGGTAAGTAATAGCAAAAGCCCTTCAGGCAGAGGTTTTGGGAGAAGTTTGGAGATCGGAGAGGTTTCAAATATTCTGGAACATAGTGAAATCAACATTTAATGTGGAACTTCTCGGCTATGTTAAAGCTTTGAATATTACCCAAGGCAATGGAAATCATTGAACGATGTTAAGAAGAGGACTGGTATCATTACTTTCTCTTTTATAAAGGATCTCTGGAAAGAAATAACTACAAGAAAATAAGTAAGAAATATTTTTTAGTGATCTGAGCCACCGTTGATGGTTGCTTACACCAATGTAGTTAGGATTGAGATATGTTATACAGGTGGAGGCATATTATGGATAGATAGGGATTTTTCTGTAAATGCCATTATACTTTGGACCTTGTTATTCAATACACCATGTATCTCAGAGTCTGCAGTTGAATTTCCGTACACAGTATGAGATGAGATGAAAGAAGAAAGAGGAGAGGGACTTGACCCAAAATTGTTGGCTTCAGAGATGGAGGGAATGTGCCATGAGCCAAGGAATATAGGTGACCTATAGAAGCTGGGAATGGTCCTCACATGACAATCAAAATGGAGGGGGTGTTATCAGTCTTACAACGTCACAGAACTGAATTATGTCAACAACTTGAATGAGCAAGAAAAGGGATCTTTCCCGATAGGCTCCAGAAAGAAACACAGTCCTACCAATCCCTTGATTTTAGCCTGGTGAGACCTGTGTTGAACTTCTGACCTACAGAGCTATAAAAAACAAAACAAAACAAACAAAAAAACTTGTGTTGTGTAAACTGCAGAATTTGTGATAATTAGTTATGGCAGCAATAGAAAACTAATGCAGATATGTATGAGGCATCTTATTGGAGATATCATTTAAACAGCTGGACATATATAGAACAATACATGCATACCTCCTTGCACATACATGCACACATGCACACACGTACACCACCACGTTAGTCAAATGAAATCATTATGTCGTAATAAACCTACCATTATATGGCTGACTAAAAACATAAGTTGAGCAAGAATCATTTAAATTACTAATTATATAACTGATTGATTTTTGTGATCTTAAGGATTCCTGAAGACAGAAAAAGTCACTGAAATTTTCAAGAGTGTTGGTGTTATGAAATAAGACCTATTTATATTGTTACTGGATTATATTTTTCTAGTTACTTAAGCAGTGACTTTAGACAAAAAGATGAAGTTTTGTGTTTTTTGTTGTTCTTGGAGGAGTGTTGTCATTTGGTTTTTCCACTAAGATGACCAGCTCTACTAATTTGTTGATAATCTATATGACAAATTCTAGACAAAATGTGAAAGTAGAAGAAAATACATCTGGACACTCTTCTACTATTTTATAGTATTTGTTTTCCCTCTTCAGACATTCCTGTAATTCCTCTTCCATCTTTTCTCAAGTTTAAGCTTTAAGAGATATTAGCCTTCTAGGAACATTTGGTTTTGATGACTCAAAAGGACAAATACTGCTAGAAGGTCTGGCATTTATGAGATACAAAAGGAGCACAGTTACAAACTTGACTTTTACGTGTGGGACTTTATGATTTCAAATAAGACATAAGAATTCAACAACCCCACCCACATGCTTCACCAGGGTTTATAAAATATGCACACACACAGACACACACAGACACACACACACACACACATCTGCATATGTATTGTTAAGATAGATTATATTGAATGCCAGACATCGTAGTTATTAAGTGATTTTTGTGTCCCTGGCTCATAATGCTGCCAAGTGTTTTAGTTTCCTTTCTTTCCTTAGCCACAGTTTGAGAAATAATTACATAATATTTTATAGTTTTAAGGTCCCTTCCAGTTTTTCTGAAGAAAAATAACATAGAACTATTTAACACAAGAGGCACAATATTTGATAGTGAGAGGTCATCATTTATATCACAATTAATTAACTTTTGGATAAGAGTGGTTCTCATAACACTCCATTAGAAGATTATTCATTCAAAATTTACTCATTTTATTTGATGCAAACTGATTTTATATAACTTAATGTTTTCAGTTAACAATTCACAATCATCATTTAGAGATTGTATTGTAATATTAAAGAAAAGCCCTTTATAGATGCTTGATAGTTACTATACTTTTACTCCCATTTGGGTTTTGGAACAGATTTAGTTTAAAATCTCACTTCCATGCATTCATTATTCAACTAATCATTAATTTTACAAATATTTATTAAGTAGTTTTATACTTGAGGCATTGTTGTACAACTGGGGCTCCAAGATATTTATTTCTTGTGTAAAGCTAAACAAGATAATTGAATTTCATAAGCCATGCAGTTTTCTCATTTGTAAAATGGGGCCAATTATATTTATTTATAAGAACATGTGGTGATTAAATTATATATATGTATATATATATATATATATATAAAGTGTTTGAATAAAAAAAAAGAAATGTAAAATCTTAAGTTGTCACTTGATAAGTTATGTTTATTTATAAGCTATTTTTTTATTTTAGAATTCACAATCTATTAAAGAAATAATAATATGAAAAAATTCAGTGTTTTGTAATGAGAGTTCTTGTCATAATATAATGTTATTGCTAATGATATTATCAATTTATGTTATTCTCATTTTGTATGAAGAATATTAATTGATAGTATATTTCTTTCCATGTTCTAGACTATTTACATTATATTTTTAATTTTCTGCCTAGTGAAAAGGGAATATTCAGTTTGAAATATACTGTAACTTGTTAGCTATTCTCTTCTGGCAGAGCAACATAAAATATAATGTGAAAATAGCATAACAAAACGTACTGTGTGAATTTCTTTGTTTTCAATTTCCTTTAGGCAACTGACCCTGATGATGGAATAAATGGCCAAGTTTACTACAGTTTGGGCAACTTCAATAATCTTTTCCGCATCACAGCCAATGGGAGCATTTACACAAGAGTGAAGCTTGACAGGGAAGTCAGGGACTACTATGAACTTGTGGTTGTGGCGACTGATGGAGCAGTACACCCTCGTCATTCAACTCTAGTTCTGGCCATCAGAGTTTTGGATATTGATGATAATAGTCCTGTGTTCACCAATTCAACATATACTGTTGTGGTTGAAGAGAACCTGCCAGCTGGGACCACTTTCCTTCAAGTAGAGGTGTGTAAAGAAGCATTCATTTCATGAATTCCATATTATGAGATTAGCCATCAGGGTTGCCGGATTTGACAAATCTAAAAGTAACACATCCAGTTAAATTTTAATTGCATATAACCAATGAGTGAATTTTAAAATATAGGTATCACCCAAATATTTCATATTACATTATATTTAACAATCTTACTTTTAGGATATACCAAAAATTAAGGGGACAAAATGTACATTTGTAAGAAATTAAATAACACATCTTGATAGAATTTTTTTAATTAAAAATGTTTTATTATATATATATATATATATATATATATATATATATATGTATGTATATGGTAACAATGGATAATGCAACAGGCTATAAAGACAAACTCAATAATCTCCCATATTTTACATCCAAATTACTCATTATTATTTTTTATTTATTCTGTCACAGTTATTTTGTGTTCATACAAATATCAAAATATTTATATATATGTAAATATACCTGTATGCACATGTGTGCATATATGCATGTAAGTACATATGAATACATATATATGTATAGTTTTCCTATATTTTACAGAAATAGGCTATTGATATATGTGTTATTTTGGGGATTTTTTTAATTTTGTTTTTTTTTACTTCTAATACACAAGCCTCTTTTTTTTCATTTTTCAACTGTGATGTTACCAGAAGCTCTGGACATTTTGATTCAGCAGCTTACCTAGTTGGCCCAGAAATATGCATTTTAAAGAACTGCCCATTTAATGCTGGCACAGGTGGTATAGGAAGTATACTTTGGGGAGGAAAAAAGATCTGGTCCTTCCTTGACCTGCAATCCACTCCTTGAATTTTGTTAGCATGGATTTCAAGAACTTGTATTTCTTCCATCATTCAACTCAACAAATGTTTAGACAATAAACATCAATAAATTTCAAAAAAAGCAGATGCTCACCAGGGAGAAGGCCATTATTTCTTTCTTTATTCTTCTATTCATCTCATTCATTCATTCATACATTCATTCAACAAGCTTATTTTCAGTGTTTATTGTGTTTCATCTCCTCTGCTGGACTTTGGGGATTCAAATGTGAACAAGACAGATTTTCTGCCTTCCTGGAATTTTCAGTCTGGCATAGCCAACAGACAAGTAAAGCGGTAATTAAAATAGAGGCCTCCAATATAAGGGGCCTCAAAGATCACAGGGAGAGCTCTTAACATAATCTGTAGGACAAAGAGAATGCTTCCTGGAGAAAGTTGCTTTCAAAATTGTCAACTGAGAAGTAAGTCAGAGTTATTTAAGCAAAGAGGAAGACAGATTATTCAAGGTAGTGGAAAGAACCCACTGAAAACCCTGGAGAAGGGGAGAGAGTTAGGGAGGCCGGGCAATGTGTGGGTCCTTCTCACCATCTTAGAGAGACTGGAGTTAATCTCAAATGTATTGAAAAACAAGCAGGATGTCAGGTAGGGAAATGACCTAGTAAAATCTATGCTTTAGCATGATCTTTCCAATTGTGATGTTGATAACTGATTAAAGGGAGCCAAGACTGAAAGTCCATGTAGGTCTTTGCATTACTGCATGTGCATTCTGACAAGCTCTTATCTTCTCCCTTCCATACTTGCTGCATTCCATTTCCTCTACCAGAGTGCTTTTGCCAATCTCTACTGCTAAATGAAATAGTCATCCTACAAGACTTGCATAAAAACCTGTCCTTTCATCTAAAACATTACGTCACTCCCAATTCTGAACACTTTTCAGCTGACATCTCTCTCCTTTTTTTTCCTTCTAGTTTGGTATCTGTGTTTATTTCTTTGAGAAAGTAACCTGGAGGGCAGAAGTTGCAGATTGATTCATCTTGTACATTTTTATAGCACCTCACACATAATAACTACTCAATACATATTAGTTATATGAACAGAGTTATAATAGAGTGATCTCTACAAGTGGGATCTGTACAAATAGGACATTTACAAAGGATCCTTGTGAGATGAATTCATTATTTATATTTTCTTAGTTTTCTTATAGTGCTTTAATAATCTATTGTGTTTATGGACATTGCTCAATAAAATTCATTTTTATTTAAAAGATTCTAATTGAAGGCTATAGAGTCAGCAGGAAATAATAAAATAATTTATGACTATTTCTTTACTGTGGTATGATTCTTTTAATTAGCAATTTTTTTCAGGCAAAATAAGTTTAGTAATAAGCTCTATAAGGACAAAATCTTGGTCTCTATATCTAATTATCTATCATCTATCTATCTATATATTTATCATGTACCTATGTATATATGTATGTATGTATGTATGTATGTATGTATGTATGTATCTATCTATCTATCTATCTATCTATTTCTCTATATCTCCTCATCCCTCTCTCTGGTAAATTACTTTAAAAAAGTGCATTTCTCTGTAACATGTTTTTTGCTTATCATTAAGTGCATGCTTTCTTAAGCACTGACATATGACTTTCATCAGTCCTGCATTTCTCTACTTTGGTAATGTCACAGATATAACCGTTCTTCTGCTTAACTTGTTACAGGCCACAGATGTTGACCTTGGAGCAAATGTGTCTTATCGGATAAGAAGCCCAGAAGTGAAGCACCTCTTTGCAATACATCCATTTACTGGAGTACTTTCCCTTTTAAGGAGTTTGGACTATGAGTCATTTCCAGACCAGGAAGCCACTATCACTTTTCTGGTGGAGGCCTTTGATATTTATGGAACAATGCCACCCGGTATCGCTACTGTCACAGTGATTGTCAAGGTAAGGAATACAGATGAGTTATGGTTGCCTACTTTGCACTTTCTACATGTAGCTTCTGTTTTTTATACTATAACTATAATATGTAGGGCAACAATTCATAATAATACAGTGGTACCAGACCCAGAACATAGGTATTTGAATGTGAAATATTTATGAAGACTTGAGAAATAATGATACTGTTTAACAAAAAAAATAAATTTGAAGGACACACTAAAAATTAATTCAAACACTGTGGCTGCCAGGGTCTACCATTAGCTCTGCGATTTGACCAAATCATAATTTCTCCAGACTACAGTTTAGTTCAAATTCCACAGCACCAAGGGTAGTAACTCCATCCAAACCCTTCAATTAAAAAAAAAATTTAAAAAGAATAAAATGACTGAAAGATTAGTGTGCTAAGCCCCCAGAACTAATAACGCTTAGTTTAGTTTGGAATCCAAGATTCTGGAATGAAATACGCTTTGTAATTATATTAAATTGGGATTAAGTTCTGGGTCACCCATTTCAAGTTCTACAACTTTGGGGGGACCTCTCTAGATTTGTTATTCATTATAATACCCTGTGGCAGATGATTTCCTGAAAGAGCATGGCTTCTTCAACATTTGGGTTTCCAGTGAGTTTTATGGTGCACCTCTAAAAGAAAACATGAGAAAACATTCATCAGTTCTCAAATATTAGTGTATATCAAGGTCACCTGAGCTGCATACTAAACTTGCAAATGTCTCTGCTCATTCTCAAAGGAGCACCTTTCCTCTGGGGAGCACATCACACATGCATTTCTACCATGCATTTCTGCCTAGAGCAAGAGCAAGTTAGGTTCTGGGGATGACTCCAATTCTTTAAAGGTGCTTTCAGTACAGGGCTCAATGTACACAACATTGAAGATACACAAGGCCATAGACACCTTTTCTACAATGCTTATTTTTATAGGTCACTGCAATGTGTAAACGATGATAGAATCATTACTTTTCTTGAGTTTTTGTTAGGTGGTAAACTCATAACATAACTCATAATGAAAAATGCTATTAGTTTGCTAGGCAATAAAATATCCATGTGAAAACACAAAAGATTGTTAAAGATTAAACCAATATATAATTTGCATAACTGTATTTATCATGTAGGCAAATGCTTTAGTGCTCTTAACTGTAAGATCTTTGGGTTTGTTTTTGCTGGTTATTTGTTTTGTTTGTTTGTTTGTTTGTTTGTTTGTTTGTTTGTTTTAAAGATAGCCTTGCAATCAGAGTGGGACACAGGGATTAGTCCACTATGTTTTCTTTACACTTGACTGAGACTTATCTGCCGGTGCAAACATGATGCCATTTCTTCCCTAGACTCCTGCTGTCTCCCCTAAACTGCTCTGGGAAAGGGAACAAAAGTCCCTTCCATTCTCAGATGCATTAAAACTGTCTGGAGAGTTTTATAAGGGTCTCAATTCCTTCTTTCTCTGGGGTCCACAATGACTGTCTACCTACTTCTTCCATTTTGTGTCTCTCTATTTTAAGAAATGTATTTATTTCTAGTGAAAATAGTGAGAATTGTATAATATCTGTTTCAGAGATTTAAAATTTTATTCAGCATCAATTTCTGTTCGGGAATAGGACTTTGAACAATCAAAATCTTTGCTTGTGTCCCCTGCTTTTCTGTCTGCATCTCTCTTTCCTAAAACAATGATTTTAGATGCCTCGTAGCCTGGGGAAGGATCAAGCGACACCGCGAAATCACTGAGGGCCTAAGGGGCTTAAATTCATATTTTGAAATACTATGTTGCCATGCTATTGTAGTATGACTTTTAGAAATTGAGAAATCTGCTTACAGAAACATTTTGGGGCATGATAATATTGGTATTGGCATGATAGGTGAAGAGATGAAAGGCCGAAATGAGACTGATCTAAACGAACTAACTATAGCAAATAACTTCTAGACCAGATGAAAAATTCAGGCCATCTTACCTCAGCATTGCCTTGCCAGCCATGTGATTCGTTGGAGTTGAACACTAAAATGATTTAAAGTAGAAAAATGGTCCATTAATTAATGGTTTTAGACAATAAGGGAAAAAAAGACTGGCCACTAATGACCTTCCCCATGTGCTTCCAAGATCCAAAGATGGATTCTCAAATATATATATATTCTCAAATATATATATTCTCAAAAATATATATAGCCTTCTCTCTCAGAATGGATGTGTTTGATAATAGAAAAGTTATAAACCCTCATAGACTCTGACTTGCCTGCTTGGATTTTGTTTTGTTTTTTTTTGGCTTGGACTTTTTTTGATAGAAGTCATTGGAGTCAAATTGAGTCCAAACATGTTATCTAAAGGAGCAAGATGTGCACTACATAAACCTCATTTTTTGTCTGGGACTCAAGTCTCTTAAAATGTATTCCCTGTTCCCTTACCACCCCCTTTATTTTACTATCGGGGTGAAACTCAAGGCTTCTACACCAGCATGTGGGAAGGAGTTGCTCATTGATGGGTTATTTCTTCATCATAAATAGCAGAGTGTTGATCTAATTTTGTTGACACAGTTGATTTATCTTATTTAGAGAATTCAAACCATTCTATTAGTCAAGTGTTCCTGGCCTATAGAAAGTTATTTCTGATTTATTGTAAAGTTAAAACATAATCAATATTTAATTCTAGATAGTTTCTTTTTTTTATTAGTTTCACGTGTACAAAACAATATAATAGCTAGACATTTACATCCCTCCCAAAGTGATAGCCCCCCCCCCCAATCTACTATCCCTCTGATATTGTATATGGCTGTTACAATACCAATACTGTTTTTTTTTTCTTTTTCAAGTGATGTAAACATAATAAAATTTGTAGAATATTTTCTCAAATGCAGGCTAATGCTAAATTTTCTTTCTCTTGATCACTCAGGTTAAGACTATCACAAAGAAAACTTTAAAGTGTTCTTGTATACTATTGGGGCCATTAAAAATAAGACATTTGTTTGTTTTGAGAAGAAAATTGAATGCAATTCTCATTTCTCCACATATGTAGATGTTTCCTAAGCTTGCAAATTTTCTGCTATTGGTCTGTTCACTTGCAGTACTGACAAGCTGTTTTGCTGATAACATAATTGCATGGTATTTGCTAAGAAATATTTCTACTGAAACAGTCACCACAGGAAAAGCAACTTGAAGATCTCTCTTTGAAAATAAGAAAAAATATATAATTTCTTTTGTAAAGGAGAAAAAAGAAATATCAGTTGCTTAATATCTAGTCTATCAAACTCATTTAAAATTAGAGTAAGAATGTGGAAATTGAAGTAAATTTTGGAAAGAAAAATATTTTTACAGTAGGAAGAAAATAAAATTTTATGACAGACATGTTCAAACAGCTTTCTTAGTGTCAAATTTTAAGGATCCAAAGCAAAACCAATGATGATCATAAAAATAATGTGTTTTTGTTGCAAAGTTTCTTGTAAGACAATGAAACAAGGCTTTTTTTCATTGTATATTAATTGAATATCTATTATTGAATCTATGGTAATAAATTTCATGATATATGTAAATCTCTAGAAAATAAAATAAATCTGTGAACAGTTTAAAAATGTAAAATCTTGAGAAAAATATGCCCTTACAAGATGAGTTGTAATATATAATACAAAAACTACACAGACCTTTTGGTCTGTTTCCTATAGTAAGCCAAAAGCTGAACAGACGCCAGAAAAGTTGAAATGTGTTTATAGATATATAATAGTGGACAGCATTAAAAATAGTGTAAAGGACTTATCTAAGATAAAAAGATGACAAGTCCTTTTGCTTATTGTAATTTTCGAATGGCTGCATATGAGTAGGAGAAAGAGTGAGAGAGACACGTCTGTGAAGGAAGGAACGGTCTCACCCCTGGCTGTGTTTGCCTGTCTCTGAGGGTGAAGATGTGGGAATAGGCAGACCTAGGTGGAAGCATTAGAAGTGAAAGACTATCCGTAAGAGCCAAGATTGGCGGGAATTACGGAGAGTCTTGGAAGATGGAGCTCGCATTTTCATCTTTCAGAAGCGTATCCTTTTCCAGGAATAAAAGTAATATTCATACCCCCAAAGAATGTGGAAAGAGGCTTTGCTAGCCTTTCTAGATAGAAACTCAGTGTCCAGTAGGAAGGTGGCATTTGCCAAGCCATGGAAATGTGGTCGGTGGTAATGTGTCACTAATGCTCCATGGTGACAGTATTCGTAGAGTCCTGGGTTTGATTTGGTCAGAGGAGCTGTGGTTTGACTTGGAGGTAGTCCAGGAATCAAGCAAATAAGAAACTGGACATTTATTTCAATATTTCCAGCATATTTCCTCCAGCTCGTAAGAGTATGGTCTGAAAGATTGATCATTATTTTTTACAACTTGCTGATTTTTCCCTTGGAATTGGTTAAACTGGGAAACAAAAACAAGCAAAAACACTCATTTTGAACTAACGTCTTCAAATGTTTCTCTCTGTTCTACACTGTGCTGTTATGTTCTTAGGACTGTATTTTTTTCCCAATATGTTTACCACAAAGCTTAAAGAATGTGAGGGCATCAGTGAGGGCATGTCATGGGGCTAAGTCAGCTAGTTTCTTAAAGCTTCTGCATATTCTGTTAAACTAGAGTTTTACAGCTAAGATGTAACGTATTTCCTCTAAAGAACCAAACTAGAGGAAACAAATAAAAGTGTATATGCCCAGAATTAAAAATGGTATTTGATAACCAGTAATAATTCATATTCGATGGGTCTCTCTCATGGCTCCTCAAGTATCGCACAATGATATCTGGGAGTACCAAGAAATGTCTTGTGTATGTGATTAATTTATTTTACAGCTGCAGTGATTGTCACATTTTCCCCCACCAGCCATGGTAAATGAGACCAGACTTGTTCCTGCCACCAGTCTCCAAATTGAACTGCCTCCCAGTGGGGACCCTAGATGCTGATAAGCCTTGTTGATACCAGCTACTGCTAGGCACTGCCATCATTCCCCAATCCCATCATTAATGTAGCTACTATCTTCACCCTGATAAATTGGTG